CTTCCTCCTCCTCAAAAACGGACAGAAACAGACGTAAATGATCATAAACGGACAAAAACTGTTACGGAAATAACATGTAGATGCTTCCTCCTCCTTTCCCCTCCTCCCCTTCCTCTTCCTCAGTCCTCCTCCTCCTAAGTCCTCCTCCTCAGTCCCCCTCCTCAGTCCTCTTCCTCCTCAGTCATCGTTCTCAGTCCCCTTCCTCCCCATCCTCATCCTCTTCCTCCTCAGTCTTCCTTCTCCTCAGTCATTCTCCTTCTCCTCCTCCTTTTCCTCCTCAGTCCTCTTCCTTTTCAGTCCTAGTGATCCTCCTCAGTGTTCGTCCTCCTCTTCCTCTTCATCCCCCTCCTCACCAGTTCTCCTCCTCCTTTACCTCTTACTCAGTCCTCCTCTTCCTCAGTCATCCTATTCCTCCTCAGTAATTGTATGTACGGCACATTCTCGGTTCTACTCTTCTTCAGTTCTTCCCCTTCTCTTCCTCCTTCTCCTCCTCAGGCCTCAATCCTCATCCTCCTCCTCAGTCTTTCTCAGTCCTCCTCCTCCTCCTCCCCCTCTTCGGTCCTCCTACTCATCCTCCTCCTCTTCCTATTCATCCTCCTCCTCCCCAGGCCTCCTCCTCCTCAATCTCTTCCATGGTCCTCCTCTTCTTCTGTCCTCCTCCTCCTCTGTCCTTGTATATGCGACACATTCTCAGTTCTACTCTTCTTCAGTTCTCTCCCTTCTCTTCCTCTTCCTCCTCCTCCTCCTCAATCCTCATCCTCATCCTCAGTCTTTCTCAGTCCTCCTCCTCCCCCTCTTCAGTCCTCCTACTCATCCTCCTCCTCTTCTCTTCATCCTCCTTCTCCCCAGTCCTCCTCCTCCACCTCTTCCTCGGTCCTCCTCTTCTTTAGTCCTCCTCCTCCTCAGTCCTTGTATGTAAGACACATTCTCAGTTCTACTCTTCCTCTGTCCTCTTCCTCCTCTTCCTCCTCCTCCTCCTCAATCCTCATCCTACTACTTATACTCGGTCCTCCTCAGTCCTCCTCCTCCTCCTCCCCAGTCCTCATCCTCCTCAGTCCTCCCCCTTCTCCTCAGTCCTCCTCCTCTTCCTTCTCCTCAGTCCTCCTTCTCCACAGTTCTCATTGTCCTCCTCCTCTTCTTCCTACTCAGTCCTCCTCCACTTCCACCTCCTCCTCCTCCTCAGTCTTCCTCCTCCTCAGTCCTCCTCAGTCCTCCTCAGTGCCGTCTTCCTCCTCAGTACTCCTCCTCCTCATTTTCTAAAAACGGACAAAATCGAACGGACAAAAACAAACATGAGCCCTGAAATCTCTCTGAAAATTATATTAATGATATATTTGTGTAACAGGGCTGTCTCAACCTTTACTTTTTTTATATATCTTGTCATCACTCCTGGAGTAATGGATATTACATCTTTATTTCAATAGATATAATAATCAATAAAATGGAATAGAATCTTGTCTTCTATTCAGCTCACTCTTCTAAAAGCTCTCCCTCTACATTCTCAACCTCATTCTCAACTTCATCATCTTCCTCATCTTCCTCATCAACATCATCACCCCAGTCTTCATCATTGGTGGTGTGTGCAAGATTGAGGTCGAGTTCGTCAACAGGTATTGCTTTCTCATAATACCGTCCTCTGTGTCCTCTCACTGCTATCAAAACTGTTTTAAGTAGCTCAAACCTCAAACGACGTCTTAAATTCGCCATGATGAGGCTTTTGTCCCGGCTGGTCTTGGCTGCCAGAAGTGTTGCTACTCTTTTAAGGAACACGGTAGCCTGTGGGCTCATACCTCCGTTGGTAGAGAATACAAGACCATTGCAGGTTCCTTTTTCAATCTTTACACAGCGGTCTCCATATTTCCTTTCTTTCTCTCTCTCTCATGTTTATTGTACAACTTTTCTGGGTGTCTTGATTAGTGTTGGATTTGGCTCCGGGCTGTAAAACCCTAATATCAAAAAATGCCATCTCCATCGGTGACCACAGACCTCTAGCTAGTCTCAACCTTTACTAGTTACTATTTCCTTCGAAATAGCTCAAAATGAATTTTTTGTTTTTTCTGTTATGGTTAAAGTAAATTTTTGAAAAAAACAAAAAACAAAAAAAACGTTATCTCCCCCTTATACATTACCTACTAACAATCATATCTGTCCCCTTTAGCAAAACTATGGCATGGGTCGTTCACGTGATGATTACTTTGATCATATTTTACCTAATCATTTCTACTATTTAATATTATGCATGCGTTTTATTGCTCAGCAGCTGTTCAAAAGGATCAAACTCAAATATAAGATAATTAATCATTTCACAGTAATAAGTTTGAAACATGTTTTCATCATACATTTAGCTCGTGTATGATTTAGTTACTTGGAGAGATAAAGATGTCCATTTTTCAATTTTCTCAATTTTCTCAATTTTCTCAATTCTGAAACACGATTTTTCCAAAATTGAGATTGATAAGATTGAGCTTCCTACCCCCCAGTTGTTAAACAAGATTGATCGAAAACAAATTTCCATTTTTTACGCTGCCTTTTTTTTGCATTTCCACGCTCAAGAGTCCTGTTTCGTAGGGCGCCGTCTTAAAGTCTTACACCCTTGAGTCTCACATTCATATCGATTTCTGTTACATCAAAATTAGGTGATTTCTTATTTTACTTTCATGGGATTGACGGACTGTACTTATTAACTTTAAGAATATACACAGCAAAACACAATGTCTCTTGACTCAATCATTTCAGAGCAAGAAAAGGCTATGAAACTGCCAGGAGAACGAGGAAAGACTAAACTCCTTTCAAACTCCTACTCGTCTAGTTCTACGAAGTGGTATGTTCTACATGAAACAGAAACGATTGAGTACTGTAAAACTTTTAATTCTATCCCGGACCTGTCTATGTCTGTGATAGTTGGGTTTAGTCCATAATTTAGCAAGTTAGCAGCTCCTGTAATACAATCTAACCTAAATTATAAATACATATTAAATACATATACTTGTATAAAATGATGCAAATTATGGGAAATTTACTAGTCCGTCAATAAATTTACATTTTGCTGGGATTTAGAGATCTGTGGGTTGGTATGTCATTTCTATTCTAAAGTAATAAATTACTTTCTATAATTAGATTACTTTCTATAGATTGCTTTCTATAATTTACTCCAGAATATTCAGGAACCTGAGAAAGAAACGTTGCGTGGAGACCGACCATTAGGACCGATCTGATTTTCAAATAAATTTTTGATGTGATTGAATGAGGGCGGAGTTCAACAAACTGTACATAAATATCTTCCTAAGAGACTGAAATCTAATCTTACTTCTATTATTATCATGTTTGATGTTATGTTTTATTATGTCTGATGAAAATGTTTAATTTTATTATGTTTCTGATGAAAAGGTTATTCGATCTGCTAGAAACTATGTTAGGACTTGGGAGTACAACTATTCATAATCAGGTTCTGTAAAAAGAGAGTTCTCCGACACCTGTGCACTCACGCTGGTGAAATGAACAATTAAGTCCAAGAAATGTTCATTAGCTTGTTCTGTAAAATGTTAATACTATGTATCAGTACTCAAAAACATGACAATATTTCTTAGCATCTAGTATCTTAAGTTTGATAGTGCTTGTGCTCAAATCACAAATGAGAATAAAAACAAAGAACCTAACTTTTCTATACGACCACGAGGTCATGAAGGTTTTGGGCTGGTCACAATCTGTACAGTTAAAACCGTTGGCGCTAACTCCAAATGTCTTCAAATTGAGGTGCTTGGCGCCGCGCGGCAAATATAAACGCATGCATGGCGCACAATTATCTATTATTATCAATGTCTTAAGGTCAATCGCGATGCAACATGGCCTGGAGTCAATGTTCGCTTAAAATGTATGTCAATTATAGCACAGGATGTTCTTTTATGTGTTCAGTGTAGTTTTCAAATACTTTATCTGTCATGAGAGAACGTTCAGAGCAACCCCTTGCTATAACGGTTTATCAGAACTCCTATTAGGGGTCGTCCACATATTACGTAATCAATATTTTAGCAATTCTTCCTCCCCCCTCCGTAATCAACCGTAATCAAGACCCAATCCCCCCCCCCCCCCCTCCTGACAGCAATGTTACGTAATATTGTCGAAATTGTTATTTTTCTAGAGGGTAAAAAAGGAAATTTTGATTTCGTGACCAACAACCAAACCCACCCCAAACTCCCCTCCGTAATCAACCGAAAGCACTTGGAAACCCCCCTCGACTGATTAAGTGATATGTGAACGACCCCTAATTGCTAAATAAAATTTGTGGCTTGATTATTTATTTTATTTAATAATTTGATGATTGAGTAGTTACAAATTATAATACACTAGAAAACTTGTGGTCACAGGGAGGAAACTAATAGTATTTTTGTTAGTGAGTTTAAATCGCGTCAAAATATCCTACACAACCGAAGATACAGCCGATTAAAATGTTGCTCGCACTAAACACAACGTAATATCAACAAAACCGATAAAAATGCCGTTTTAACAATCTTTGCACGTGCACGTGCGTGTAACGAAACCGTTACCATGGTTACTTTGCAACCTTTTGCTTTTTGCCGAATTTGGACGTGGGCGGTCGTACATACAGACAGAAATAATTCTTTGAATTATAATATTTACTAGAAAACCCGTAGTCACAGGGAGGAAGCTAATATATACTCTAATAGTATTCTTTTGTAGTCAGGTTTTATCACATTAAAAAACATCCGTCCGCGTCACAACCGAAGATACAGCCGATTAAAATGTAGTTCGCACTGAACACAACGTAATTACATCAAAACCGATCAAAATATCGCTCGCCAATCTATGCACGTGCACGTGCGTGTAGCAATCTTTGTTACCATGGTTACTTTGCAACTTCCTATTTCTCATCTGATTTTCACGTGGGCGGTCGTACATACAGACAACAGAAATAATTCTCTGAATTATAAATAAGATAATCCTGTTATTTTTATTTCTGATTGCTAAATACGTAAAGAACATTAATACAAAAATTTCTATCAGGAATGTCACTTGAAAAAACAGAAAAGTTTGATGGGGTTGATATCAAAGAGGAGATGACAGACGCCCAACCAGTTAACCCTACTTCAACCTGGTCATCATCAGTATGTACTTGTAAATGTGAGGAAGAGAACGGAAATAACAACCTGAAAGCTGAAGCCGTGCTATGTAGTCAGTTTGAAGCTGGTTCAGAACACCTCAACCAAGTAGGTGAAGTTGCAAAGATGGAGGATGTCAGGATTTTCCGTGACGTCCTGGCTAAACTTTAGTCATATTACTCTCTGTTTGATTAATTAAATGCGCTAACTTTAACTACTGAAGCCCTTTTAATCAGTGTGCGCTGTGCTGTTTGTTATTGTACTTATTTTTGCTGTATTGTTATTATCAAGCTTTTCACTCTTGCTGTTACAGTGTATTTGATAATGTACATGTGATCGCTAAGTTTATTTTGATTACGATTCATAAGTAACTTAGATTTGGCAGAAAAACTATATTGAACACAAAATCTGTGTGTGTGACAGTCCGATACTCATGACTGATTTGCTTTAGGTTGAAACTTTAACGAACTCTAAAACCAAAAACTGTAACTTTTGGTAGGTTGCAGATTTTCAACAGTAATAAATAAGTTGCATCTTTGATCTTAGGCATCTAGGTAAACTATAGGTAAAAATATAATATTAATCATAAGCTAAAATGTACCAATCTTTGTATTCTAAATGGGGAAAAAGAAGAAACATTGTCAGTCAGTCGAGAAAATTGTCAGTCAGGCTATATGGCAGCTTTGTAGATGTTGTGACTATGCTAGTAGTGGTCCCAGGCTTGCGACTGGAATTGCGGTGTTAAATCGATTTAATGGTATACCAACGATCCACCTCCCACTTGTTGTTTGGTACTTAGCATTAATAGTGTTAGCTGTAGCCATTTATAGCAAGAATCTTAAAACTAAAGGGGATGACAAGGAAAAGAGGAAGGAAAAAGAAAAACGGGACATACAATTAATTAAAGTATTTATAGGAGCATTAGATATTGTAATTACAAGCTTCAATAATAAATCACTGACTAAAACTTCTAATTAAAATGACACTTGGTACGCTCGCCCATTTTCACTGGTCAGTCTGAACTTCGGTTTAGCACGTTATACACTTATTCACCTAAGTTTCAGAATTTGTTCAGTTTAGCAGAGTTAGTACCCGTGTTTCAATAAATCAAAAGATATCAGGGGAGTTCTTTAATAATGTTACGGTCATCTAGAATACCGAACTTCCTGAAAACGTTATCATATTTCCTCAGACAACGTTTAATGCCTTTAATCAGTCTATCACGGCTATATCCTCTATCAATTAGAATTTTGAATATTTTGTGAAGATGGGAGGTAAAGATATCCAATCTAGTGCAAACATTACCATATCTAAGAACTTGACTTGAATAAACGTTGTAGCCAACCTCGGTTGGGATGTTACTGTGAGGAAATGTAAGGGATACAACATATTGTAATGTAAGGGATACAACATATTTACTCTCTATTTGATAAATTACTTGTGATTATTCTATTTACTGAAGCCCTTTTAATCAGTATGCGCTGTGCTGTTTGTTATTGTACTTATTTTTGATGTATTGTTATTATTAAGCTTTTAACTCATGGTGTCACTGTGTATTTGATTATGTACATGTGATCGCTAAGTTTATTTTGATTCGATTCATAAGTAGCTTAGATTTGGCAGAGTAACTATATTGAACACTAAAGCTGTGTGGCAGTTCGATACTCTTGAATTATTTGTTTTAGAATGAGCGTAGTGTAAAACTAACAACTTTAACTTTTGGTTCGTTACAGATTTTGAGCAGCAATAAATAGGTTATAATTATACCATTATATATAGCTTATAATTAATTTTAAAAGCACATTTTAAAATTGAATTCCTAAGTATGTCTGATTATCTTTTTCCTAGGTTCCAGCCACTGGAAGTGCCCAGGACAGTAGTAGCCACAAGAGGCGTAAGATGTTAGCTCCCGAGAAGCCCTCCAAGCAATCTAATCTGAAACAGTTCAAGGTGCGTGCCCTTGATCAAACTATGAAAAGAACTGGTTAAAATATCCTTTTTCTGTGATAATTTGTCCCACTGCAACTGATCAAACACTTTTAACATTTTGTAACCATTACAGATTTGCATGACAGACACGGATATATGATAATTTTTTTTTTTTAATTAAATACTTTTCAAATTTTACAGAGTACAGCAATAGATGAATATAAAATAGAATCGTTCAAAATATCGCCCCCATCTGTAAAATATGATGGGCACCCAAACACGGTAAACACATAGTGAACTATGTCCGCAGTAACTTGGACCCATTACATCGAATTAATCTAAATCCAAAAATTTATGAAAAACTATTTAATAACAAACAAATCCATGGTGAATAACTGTGGATATAGAGTCAAAATTTGTATTTCAATACGTCAAATTCCAGATACATTGGATACAGGTCTAAAATGGTCATTAATGTGTGAGAAGGTGTGCGGGTGAAGTGTGATATGATGTTGAAAGTATAGGAAGGTAGATAAAAAAATTAATAAAACAAAAATAATAATAATATGGGGAGCAAAGAGACTAGGCTAGACTGTTGTTTCACTATCCAATAAACATTTCCATAGATGCTTAGTGACCTCAGCTTTGAAAAGACTAGTAGACACAATCTGTCTTACCTGTAAAGGGAGTCCATTCCACAGTATATGGGTTCTGTAGAAAAATGATTTTGCCAGTGGGCTATTTGAGGTACATGTGGTGTGTGAATTCTGACTTAACTTAGGTAAAATTGATGACACAATAGACAGACTGTCGAGGTGGCAACGTCTTAGTCGAGAAGTGCCCTGATATAAAGAGAGATAGTGAGGCAGCGAAACAGGAATTAAATTGTTAAGAACTTTGTGGAAAAAAATATAATTCTAATCTTAATTAATTATTCTAATCTTAATTTCCTAGGCCTCGACCACACAGTTTAAAGGCCCCAACAGCACTACCCAGCCTGTGGACACCCTCGGACCTCAATTCAAGAGCCAGGACAACACAGTAAATACATGTTTTATTAGTTTTATCTTCTTTTGAAAGGCTCAGTATTAACTTTCTAATACTAATAGTTTTCATTCGGTGTATTTTATTTAATCTAATGTGACATAACTTTAGCACTGACAAGTGACATTCTCTAAGCATTGATTGGTTAGGTTACAGCTTTTTACCTCAGCATGTTATGGGGGCAGGGAGGGGGGTCTTCATCAAAATTCTCTCGAAATTGACCTCGAATTTTTACGATTTTTGAGGTCCAAGATTTTCAAAATTGAATAAAACATTTTTAAAGGCCTATCTCAAAATTTTGTATAATCGATCTCTTCTAAATGGTCCCTAGAACATGTCATAAAAGTTTCAGGGTGATTGCTCAAAAAATGTAGGAGAAGATAGATTTTTAGACTCGATTTTCAGAACTTGCGATTGAAAATCGCTTGCGCAATACAATTACACATAGGCGCTGACCTTAGACCGGCGATAATTTCGGCTAGAAACAATATTTTTCCATGGGACTAAAAGCAGCTGGTAGATATCACTCCCCTCTATCAGAAACAACTATAAAGTCAATTTCGAGAGAATTTTGATGAAGACCCCCCCCCCCCCCGGCCCCCTTAACAAAGCTTTTTCATCCACTCTTCGGCCTTTTTTTAACAGGGTCAGTAAACAAGATACATAATAACGCAGTTTTATTAATTCTATTAAACACTTCGTTTACACTTATCAATATCTTCTAGAGCTTAACGTCGGAGGAGTTCATGCGGCGCACTTTGACTGAGATGGCCGAAATGAAGAAACTGCTCCTGACCCTTGGCAGCCAGCAAACAGCTCCTACTCCACCCAGTGCCCCACAGCAGCAACCTGGTCTGGACAGAAGGCCTATCGTCAGAGTGAGTCAGCGAGACGCAGCCCCTCTCCAGAGTGGTGATTGGGTACAAGATGCTGACTCAATCAAAGCACTGAGTGTCAGATCTGTCACCAGGATAGAGGATTTAATAGAACGATCTATTACCCCTTATCACAGGTAAAACTTCGACTGAAAAGATCTGGTACTTCTTTGCGATGAATATATTGGAATGTTTTGGAATGTTTTTGGCCATTTTTATAACCTCACTTTTAATTTTTTTTAAATCGACTTTTTTACCCTAGGCTGAAGTGGTCAAATCCGGAGAAAACACACGTGGAGTGCTCACTGTGCCCGCAACAAAAATTCAAAGTACCTGCTGAACTGAACAATTTTCACCCAGAGAAGGGAAGGGTTGGAAGGCACAAGGATTTCAGCAACCTCATCAGTCACTACAAAGCTCACTTGTCCAAGACAGTTGGACACCAACAAAAGGTTTGTTTTTTAACATTCTCTGTTTACATTTTTAAGATCTGTAGCTATCTCATGATTTAAATATTTAGCTATTATTAGTCAGCTCTAGCCTCTTCACAATTATCGTTCAGGTTAATGAAGTTGTGAGGCTGCAGAGGGGGCCGGGGGGAGGAGGAAGACCTCAGCCTTGATGGTCTTTGTGGATTCAACACGGTGATGAGCCGGCTTGAAGCCATATATAGAGGGGACGCTCTGGCATCCTTCCCAATGACCATGATGGGTCAGTCCAACCGGAAGGTGTTGATAGGTATGCCGTTTTTTACTTTCTAGGCACCAGTCATCGTCAATATTTACATTATATTATTAGAGTGCTACCTAAAATTGAATATCATATCTGTAATAAAAGTGTCCTGTAATACAATCTAACCTAAATTATAAAAACAATTTAAATACATAAACTTGTCAATAAATTTACATTTTGCTGGGATTTAGAGATCTGTGGGTTGGTATGTCATTTCTATTCTAAAGTAATAAATTACTTTCTTTAATTAGATTACTTTCTATAGATTGCTTTCTATAATTTACACCAGAATATTCAGGAACCTGAGAAAGAAACGTTGCGTGGAGACCGACCATTAGGACCAATCTGATTGTCAGATAGATTTTTGATGTGATTGAATGAGGGCGAAGTTCACCAAACTGTACATAAATATCTTCCCAAGAGACTGAAATCTAATCTTACTTCTATTATTATTATGTTTGAGGTTATGTTTTATTATGTCTGATGAAAATGTTTAATTTTATTATGTTTCTGATGAAAAGGTTATTCGATCTGCTAGAAACTATGTTAGGACTTGGGAGTACAACTATTCATAATCAGGTTCTGTAAAAAGAGAGTTCTCCGACACCTGCATGCACTCTCGCTGGTGAAATGAACAATTAAGTCCAAGAAATGTTCATTAGCTTGTTCTGTAAAATGTTAATACTATGTATCAGTACTCAAAAACATGAAAATATTTCTTAGCATCTAGTATCTTAAGTTTGATAGTGCTTGTGCTCAAATCACAAATGAGAATAAAAACAAAGAACCTAACTTTTCTACACGACCACGAGGTCATGAAGGATTTGGGCTGGTCACAATCTGCACAGTTGAAACCGTTGGCGCTAACTCCGAGTGTCTTCAAAACTAGGTGCTTGGCGCCGCGCGGCAAATATAAACGCATGGCGCACAATTATCTATTATTATCAATGTCTAAATAAAAGGTCTAATCGCAATGCAGCATGGCCTGGAGTCAATGTTCGCTTAAAATGTATGTCGTTTATACCACAGGATGTTCTTTTATGTGTTCAGTGTAGTTTTCAAATACTTAATCTGTCATGAGAGATCGTTCAGAGCAACCCCTTGCTATAACGGTTTATCAGAACTCCTATTAGGGGTCGTCCACATATTACGTAATCAATATTTTAGCAATTCTTCCTCCCCCTCCGTAATCAACCGTAATCAAGACCCAATCCCCCCTCCTGACAGCAATGTTACGTAATATTGTCAAAATTGTTATTTTTCTAGAGGGTAAAAATGAAAAAAGGAAATTTTGATTTCGTGACCAACCCCCAAACCCCCCTCCGTAATCAAGCGTAAGCATTTGGAAACCCCCCTCGACTGATTAAATGATATGTGAACGACCCCTAATTGCTAAATAAAATTTGTGGCTTGATTATTTATTTTATTTAATAATTTGATGATTGAGTAGTTACAAATTATAATACATAATCCTGTTATTTTTATTTCTGATTGCTAAATACGTAAAGAACATTAATAAATTTCTATCAGGAATGTCACTTGAAAAAACAGAAAAGTTTGATGGGGTTGATATCAAAGAAGAGATGACAGACGACCAACCAGTTAACCCTACTTCAACCTGGTCATCATCAGTATGTACTTGTAAATGTGAGGAAGAGAACGGAAATAACAACCTGAAAGCTGAAGCCGTGCTATGTAGTCAGTTTGAAGCTGGTTCAGAACACCTCAACCAAGTAGGTGAAGTTGCAAAGATGGAGGATGTCAGGAGATTGCGTGACGTCTTGGCTAAAGCTGAACCTTTGGACTATAAAGAACTTCAGTGTGATAACTGTAATCTTGCTCTAAAATCATCGTATGTAAGACCTGCGAAAAGAAATTCTTCTTCTGTTCCTATACCTACCGAGTCTGATTGTGGTATTCAGGCTGAAACTCTATCTATTGGAGAAACCACTCCGTCTGGGAATAAACAGAAGTTGAAAAAACAGAAACGAACAAACACCGGAGAAAAACCTTATTCTTGCAGTCTGTGTGATTATAAATCAAATCACTCGAACAATCTTGCTCGTCACAAACGGACACACACGGGAGAGAAATCTTATTCTTGCAGTTTGTGTGATTATAAATCAAATGACTCGGGCAATCTTGCTACCCACAAACGGACACACACCGGAGAGAAACCTTATTCTTGCAGTTTGTGTGATTATAAATCGTATCGATCGAGTGATCTTGCTAATCACGAACGGACACACACCGGGGAGAAACCTTATTCTTGCAGTTTGTGTGATTATAATTCAAATAAATCGAGCGATATTGCTCGTCACGAACTGATACATACCGGAGATAAACTTTATTCTTGCAGTTTTTGTGATTATAAATCGAATCGATCGAGCGATCTTGCTCGTCACAAACGGACACACACCGGGGAGAAACCTTATTCTTGCAGTTTTTGTGATTATAAATCGAATCGATCGAGTTTTCTTGCTAATCACGAACGGACACACACCGGGGAGAAACCTTATTCTTGCAGTTTGTGTGATTATAAATCAAATAAATCGAGCGATCTTGCTCGTCACGAACTGATACACACCGGAGAGAAACCTTATTCTTGCAGTTTATGTGATTATAAATCAAATCACTCGAGCAGTCTTACTGCTCACAAACGGACACACACCGGAGAGAAACCTTATTCTTGCAGTTTATGTGATTATAAATCGTGTCGATCGAGCAATCTTGCGTCTCACAAACGGACACACACCGGAGAAAAACCTTATTCTTGCAGTCTATGTGATTATAAATCGAATCAAGCGAGCAATCTTACTACTCACAAACGAACACACACCGGAGATAAACCTTTCTGTGCTGTACTCTCTGCGACATTAAAGTGAAGACGGCTGGATCTTTGAAAAGGCATATCATATATGTTGATTCATAGTGGGCTGTATGGCTGCGAGCACTGTGACTGTAATCCTAAATCCAAGGACGATTTGTTGAACCACATAAGGGGCCGTTCACATATTACGTAATCAGCTGGGTGGGGGGGGGGGGGTTTCCGAATGATTACGCAAGTGTAATTTTGACACAATAGCTATGTCTAAAACTGATTACGGAGTGGGGGGGGGGGGGGTAAAAATGTCCAAAAAAATAATTACGTAATATGTGAACGACCCCTAAGATCTAGGCAATACCACCTCATCTGAACTGTAGTTTAATCCAAGAAATTCAGGAAGGAGAACTTCGCTAGTATAGTTAATACATTAAAACATTATATTATATTATAGCTTACCTGGGGACCTCAGGCTATCATGTTCATAAACAAACGAATAGAGATTCGGCGGAATGACAGGCTGAGCGCGGCCCAGTGAATTATAGCATGTTCGATAGATTTACTCGGGACAGAATTTTGATAACTTTCAAAATCTTGTCAGTTATCCAACAAAATACTCTATTAATTTTGGTTAATTGCTAAATACAATTTGTGGCTCGATTATATATTTTATCTAATAATTTGATGATTGAGTAGTTACAAATTATAATATTAATACATAATCCTGTTATTTTTAATTCCACTCGCTAATTAATAAATTAACACAAAAATTTCTATCAGGAATGTCACTGAAAAAACAGCTTTTACTAATTCGCTCGCCCAAAAATTTCACTTGAGTTTGACTTTGGTTTTTATGGTTTTGCAGCCGTACGAAATGGTTTTACATAAACTCTTATCCCAATCCTAACCCTAACCATAACCCCGAAGCTATCAATAACCCTTACCACAACCCTAACCCTAACCCGAGCCCTAAACAATCGAATTCATGTTTTACTAGCCTGTCACGTGACCAAAACAGTTTTTTGCCCATAACTCTCCAGGGAAGCATTTTTACCCTACGTCATGGGGGGTGATTCGGAATCAGCGTCCAAAAATACACCGATTCTAATTAATTTCATACCCAAAGGGCCTTTTCGCAAGAATTTGCTTAAAATTTGGGCGAGCGATTAAATAGGAGCGATATTTTACCTATACTAGTACGGAGCCAGATAATGAAAAGAAATAAGAACATAACTGATATTTTTAATATCTCGTTGAAGTATAAAAGGAACGAAAATCTCATAGTCATCGCCTAAAGTATATTTGTGATGATAGAAAGTTTATTTTTTCGATAGCAGATAGCAGATAGTTAAAGACAAGAAAAATAAAATATCGGTCGCCAATTCAATTTCAATTCAATGAATGAACCTGAAAGATCTTCGTCATTCGTCATTCGTGTAGTGAGCATGATGAAACTACTTAATCCACTAGACTTAAAAATTATGAAGTTGTTAAATCCACGTAAAAATCGATTCAAAAATCTCTATTCTACAAACAAGGAAAGGCTACGTCAAAAAAAATTAGAAACACTAACAGTTTGTCATACGTTGTAAGGTTGTCAACTTACCGCGCACGATCGAGTGCGCGGCTGTATCGTGGCCACTTACTCGTGACCCCCATTGCATCGTTTCGCTAAGTGGGGGGTCACGACGTGATACAAAAAACAATATGATGCTCTCACCTGCAATCTGATGCTCTCACCTGCAAAAAACAATATGGTGCTCTCACCTGCAATCTGATGTTCTCACCTGCATGAAATAAGTAGTGCGCCATCGACAGTGAGCCGCGCGTGCCGACTGTATGATGGTTTTTTAGCGCTAATTTCGGCCAGCACAATTTTCTTCAAACAAATAGATATTAAGTATCCTTCCCGACCTCCGATTGCAACAAAAATTGGTAAGCTTACTCATAGACTTACAAGGAAAGTGTCCGAAAAGTTTAAAGCATATCCAACCATCAGACATTATGTTACAGCTAAAAGCAGCGTATTTTGCCCCATTTTGATCACTATATCAACTCTGATATCCACCAAATTTTTCGGACAGTTGTGAAAGCCCTATTGGAAGGTCGTCGCCAATTTTCAGAATGATCTCATTCAAGGAACTGAAGATAAATCCAAATAATACGACAAAAATCAACGAATTTGGTCAAATTTGGTCAAATTACGCGACTTTTACAGCTAATTTTGCTCCAAAAGCCGCGCACCATCAAATATGGCACCTAGGCGAAACTCACTGATTTTTCCAAAAATGTATGACAAATTTGGTATTGTGAAAATTCTCACAGTCTCTAGAAAACAATGATACAAAAAATTTTAAAATCCGAGCAAGTTTATTTTTATGGTGCACCCCCTACATGAAACAATACGATGCTCTCACCTGCACGACTTGATCAAAGTTACAATGGGTTACAAGTCACGTGACAATATTTAGCTTTATGAATATACCTTTCACTCAGTCGCAGTTTTCTTGTCGAACTTCAGTATGTGTCGACTGTCGAACTATAAAAGTCCAGGTAGCGTACTGTAGTTCGACAGTCGAAGTTCTCTTTTCGAACTTAAGTATGTGTCGAATTAGAGACAGAGTCCAGGTAGCGCAGTTTAGTTCGACAGAGTCGAACTTAGAGAGTTAAGGGTTTGTCGAACTACAGTACGTGTCGAACTAGAGTATGTGTACCCAATCTTTTTAAACATCCCCAATTTTTAACTGAAACTCCATATTTGAGACCTGAAATTTGTTTCAACGGAGGGTCACTTTTTTGTCAATTTTTAATGTTTTTAGCGGTTGTCGGGGAGATTTCGTCAAGTTTAAAATATAATTACTAACATGCATCATTACT